TTTATCGTAATATAAGTTCAATAATCTTCATCTAAAATGTTAAACTCCTGACAAACTTGATAAAATGACAAATTCATCATTTTGATAAATAAACTGTTAAACTTTGTATGGAAATCTATTTAACCAAAGTTTATCGCTTTACCAATAGGTTTTGGCGCTTTGAGCGACCTCTAAATTTTTTTATTTAAAAATAAAAAAATAAAAAAGGGTATATTTTTTCGGTATAGAACAATCCTAGGGGGTGAGAGCATAAACATTTCGACTTACCTTTTTGACAAGCAATTTTGGACCACCCTAATGTACATACATAAACCACTGTTGATTGTCCACACGAATGAGCTCCTTATTTTGCAACAAGTGCATTCGGTCTGTTCACTTTTCACTTTTTTGCTCCAAAATTTTCAACCTCCTTTTCTCGAGAGTCGTTTCTATGAAATTCGTGATAAGAGAAATCCGCCTTCTTGCTAATTTTGCGTTAAATAACTATTTATTAAATGAAAGAAATATTTGCTCACAGCGTAAAGCGAAGGCTTTGAAACCCTGCGGGATATAAGAAAGTTATAAGTTCATAAATCACGAACGGTGTGCAGCATAAAATAATGAATAACCCATTTGTGATCGCTTTTATATGTATCGCGAGTATATCTAAAAGATTCGTTTTTTATCCGATAATTGTACATTTAAATAAATCGGCGGAATTAAATGACCTGGTTAAAAGAAAAGAAAACTCTTAGTGAAACGCATTGCTCTGATTTGCAGGAAAATGTGTAAATATGTCACCAGCTTATAAGCAAACAAAAATAGGTCGCCGCCGAGTCTGATTCGGCAAAAAAAACAATTTTTTAAATAGTTCTGCTAGACTAATTAAAATACTTAGCAAAAGTTTAACGAGTTTTGATGAATTTTAATTTACTAATACTAGGGTAGTAAGTTCGGCTGAGAAGAACTGAGATCTGATGGGTAAGTACTAGAACGGGGTACTTGAGGTCAATGACTTCCCGTACTCGGCCAAACACGTAGAAAACCTTTGTGCGTCAAACGGTCATTTATTGATATCATGATCAGGGTTGCCACTGACAAAAAAGATACTTACCTTCTACTTGAAAAAAATCTACCAAATCTGGAAAATTTCTACCAATAACGTTTTTTTTTTTAGTTATTTTATTAAAAGTTATAGTTTTGTTATTTTTTTAGTTATTTAGTTAAGGAACTTTCAATTTAACTATTTATACCTTAAACAAAAAGCGAAAGTGATGGAACTAAAGGCAACAACGAAACTTCATCGTTTGAGATTTTTTTTTATACTCACAATGTTTTTCAAGTAAAATTTTTTTGGTATTTTATTTTGTGTAAGAATATTGTTTGCGCTTAAACCAAACCCATAAAAATCAAGAATTCAAGATAAATACAACATTTAGAAAATTCAACAAATTTTCGTCTAAATTTCGAACTTTTTACTCTAAATTTTTATAACAATTTAAGGCATTGAGTTTTATAGCCCATAATATTTGAGCATAACCAAGAGTGTGCAGCTAAAAATTCCAGTTGATTTTTATTTTTATTTTAATTTTTTTGCCGGCTGTCTTGGGTTTTTTCATTTAACAATTGCAATTTTTTAATATTCATTTAAAATATTTAAAGCGCTCGAAAATTAATTCAATGACGTAGACTACACTTTTGGGAAGAAATTCTTAATAAAAAGACAACTACGAAAATAAGAGCGAGAACGAAAAGTTTTATTTGTTTTTCAATCAAAATAACTCAACGACAGCGGGCGAACATAAAATATTGCTATAAATACCCGGTTTTAAGTTGAATGCAGTCAATGAAAGCAGAAAAGAATTGCGTGGAGGTTGTGGGAAAAGTGCAGCAACAAGTTTGCGGCAAATTGTTATTTATGAGTTCGGATATGTTCTATGATGTGCTTAGTTGTTGTACTTTTAAAATAGCCACTGTGGGGAAGTAACTCCTAATTGAATTTGACGTTTAAATAAGTGGAGGCGGAAGCGGGGACTTGGACAGATTGTAAACCGCTACTAAACACTTTTACTTTACGTGTTTCTTTTTTTTGCTCCCTACAGGTTCTTGTTTGGAGTATGGACATTCATGCTGGGGTGGTGAGTATGAAAAACATTTGTTTTACATTCTTTAATTTGGCACCTAATACATTTTACCGTTAACAGCGCATGGAAAACGTTCAGCTGGCCAAGAGATTACACGCCATAAAGGCCAACGGGATTCTGAGCCAAGAAATCTACACGGCAACCAGCTAAATCTGTTGGGTGAAGATAACGTAAATGAAATTTTTTCAAACAAGGTGGGTACCAGCATACTTGCATATACACATATATATGTATTCCATACTACATACAGCCAGCGTCAAAAACATGAACTTCCCGACGTTTTCACGATTTTATTTATTTACATTTTCCACACAAAATTTTTCTTATTTAATAAAAATATATATAAATCATTCAACAGCAAAAACCACAAGAATATATATTTTTAATTGTATACAGAAGTCGGGAATATGCAAGAAATACCAAAACATTTTAATCAAAATTTTAAAATTTTCAACTCGATTTCTTAGAACAATTTCGAGTATGCAGTTTTGTAGCGGGTGTAGCACGATCTTCCATATAAAAATAGATTTTGTTCATGCGTTATATGGAAGAAAATGCGCAACACCCTCGACAAAAAAAAAATATCCCAAAAATCAACAGTAATTTTTAGTGACTTGAAAATTGCATTTGATTCAACTGAAAATTAATTAGCTACACAACTGCATACTCGAATTTTTTTTTTGAAATCGAGTTGAAAAATTTTAAATTTTGATGATTTTTTTTTTTGGTAGATATTTCTTGCATTTTCTTGCTCTGTATAACATTAGAAAAATTGATTCTTGTCAGGGTATTTATATTTTTGATGCTGACTGTGCATGTATGTATATCCAGGGACCGGTAACGCGTTCTATTTTTGGTTTAGTTCTGCACGAGCCCAAAACGTAATGTCAAGAACGTTCCCACGCAAACAAAATGAGGACAAAAGTTTCGGGAACGCTTCCGTAAAGAACAAAATGCAATGTCACCCTTTCTATTACGGCGCCTTATGTTTGCGTCATGTTTTGTTTTCTAGCGAAAAGTATAACTTATAACTTTGTATTTCATTATATTTCACGAAAGAATTTAGTGAAATAAAGAAACACATAAACATAGTAAATACTGTAAAATTTTGTACAGACCACACTAAAAAGTAGGAAAAAATCAAATAAAAAACCTTTTAATATACATAGCCCGTTTACATAAATGGACTGAAAAGTAGAAAATTACTCTTCCTAGACCCATAGAATGTGTCTCGATAAGTTTTGATTTTTGCTTTAATCGATCGCTTAAAATCGATCACAAATTTATAACTACTTGCGCAGTAGAAACTTTAGGTCTTGTTATGTAGTTTAAATATTGAATGAACGACTTATTTGATTTTTTTCTATCCTAACTTTGGCTTAAATAAAATGAAGCGAAACCATCTTTTTGGGGATTTTTGAAAACATATTGCTAAAGTGCATGAACGAAATGATGTTGAAGATTCGTCACCAAGGCAATAATAAATTTGTTTCCATTGATAATTGTTGCATATTTTTCTGTTTCTTTACTTAGTTCGATATCGATGAGGTACCCACTTCGGCAGAGAGTTCATCGCACAACGCTTTGAGTGCCGAAGATTTCTCGGCCGACTCGAATGATTCTAGCAAAGCACGCAACTATATGAGACTACGGCGGCTGAAATTTACCGCGCACCCAAGTTCGGGTGACAGCAATTTCTCACCGATCGACAACAGCAAACGTGAAAGCATTGCTGCTGACTCGCGTGAAGAACTCCAACGGCACCTACAGCCGCCGCGACAGACACAACAGCAACGCAAGTATCCCAAATATGTTGAACGTTGGAGAAAGTTGCCCATATTTGGATTGCGGCATGCATTCGGCAATTCACCGTTGGCGTTGACTGATGCCGTATCACTAGAGTTACCAGATCGAAATGCCGAGAGTGAGTTTATTCAACAATTTGGACCGCTGGCAGGCGGAAGAAGATTGGATGACATCGGAGTTTATTATGACTTTCAATAGAACTCGAAACTGCAAAGATTGATCGAGTAAATGGTTGATGACTTAACGGACACACAGAGTCGTGGATGACTACTACAACAAAGTTAATTAAAAGATGAGATATTCGTCAAAATAAGCGCATGTAAATACAAACTTACACACATTCGCATGCCAAATATGTTGGCTTCAAGTGCACAAAATGTTAAACAATATTAAATACTAAAATATTGGAACCACACACATACTTACTTTCAAAGGCTCTAAATGTAAACATTTTATTGTAAGAAAAATATTTTTGTGTATTTTACGCGTTGATTAAGCTAATACTATCTATGTATAAGAAACATTGTCAATTTTTTTTCCAAAATTCCTCTCAATGTATTTTGCCGTATTTACGTTTATACACAGGCTACGTGTATACTTATACCAACAACTCGTTCAGGTTACAATCGCCTCTAATTTAAAAGGAAACTTAATTCGAAGCTACTTTGTAATATTGATGCAGCGGGCTGGATGCATCAATATTATTTATACATACTTCAATTTGTATTGGCTGTATGAAGACAGACATAANAGCGGGCTGGATGCATCAATATTATTTATACATACTTCAATTTGTATTGGAAGGCAGACATACATACATACATGCCTATGTACATACACATACACATGTAAATATAAGCTAGAACTTAAATTTTTGAATTGCCACATCTTGGTTGCAGAAAATATGTACGTACTGTATTTTATTTGATTTACCAACAAATCCAAATATATACATTTAATTTCCACAATACAGTTACTTATGTAAGCAAGTAAAAAGTTTATCACAAAAAAAAAAATGTTTTAATTGCCAGCAAATCGAATCTGCATATTTTCAGCATTCACATTATGCCTTTATCTTAGCCGGTATTCGGAAGCAAACAGCATCGCCTTGTTTATCACCCAAACCCCAGTGAATCACCAAGTTCACAGTTGGGTAGATTGGCAGAATCTTGAAGCTATTCTTGTAGGTATACGTCTGACCGGCTTTCAATGGACAGCCCACCTTCTCTTTGCCCTCAGCATCGTAAATGTACGGACAGGCGCTGGTGCCATAGTAACCGGGGAATGGCAGTGGCACATCTAAAATAATGCCCTGTATATCGGAATTGAGCTCGGTGAAATCGCGTTCGGGTTTAATTTTCATCTCAATGTTGGGTTCTGTGTTGCGCTTGAGTGTGCATTTATTTTTAGGACAATTGGAGATACTCACTTCGTCCGGAGTCAAGGCGCGTGCTGTAGCTGTAAAGCGGAGAAAAGAAATGATTGTATAAAATCTTTTTACTATACATGAGCATACGGGTGTGGGTGTTTTTAATTATTTGGCTTACATTTTGGACACTTGCCAACCTCGGTGGCATTTGTCAGCGCCAATATGGCAATGAAAATGGTAGATATGCTCATCGAGAACTTCATTTTTTTTAGAATTCCTCAACTGCTTTTACACACTGAAATGAGAACAGAAATTGATNCTGACCGGCTTTCAATGGACAGCCCACCTTCTCTTTGCCCTCAGCATCGTAAATGTACGGACAGGCGCTGGTGCCATAGTAACCGGGGAATGGCAGTGGCACATCTAAAATAATGCCCTGTATATCGGAATTGAGCTCGGCGAAATCGCGTTCGGGTTTAATTTTCATCTCAATGTTGGGTTCTGTGTTGCGCTTGAGTGTGCATTTATTTTTAAGACAATTGGAGATACTCACTTCGTCCGGAGTCAAGGCGCGTGCTGTAGCTGTAAAGCGGAGAAAAGAAATATGATTCCATAAAATTTTTTTACCATACATGAGCATACATGTGGGTGTTTTTAATTATTTGGCTTACATTTTGGACACTTGCCAACTTCGGTGGCATTTGTCAGCGCCAATATGGCAATGCAAATGGTAGATATGCTCATCGAGAACTTCATTTTTTTAGAATTCCTCAACTGCTTTTACACACTGAAATGAGAACAGAAATTGAAGGTAAGTACCTAAAATTTAGTCATAAATATCTAAATATACTAGTACATATGTATGTATGTATAAATTAAATTCCTGGGACACCCTGTATAAAAAAAGGATTTTTTTCTGCGAAATTCTATATGCATATCCTGTTAAATTTGTCCCTTGTACCCATGCATACTTGAAGTTGAAATTTTAGTTAAGACTACTACATATATCTTAATACAATACTTTGGCAGATGTGATATAATAGAGCTCAATAAAGGATACATTTTATTCGTTGTGCTTCTTTATTGCCGCTGTAACCGCCTAAGTGATTTTGGCCGAGCGCTGCACAGCGCGCTAGCCGTTTCTCTTCTGTGCCAACTGACGCCAATTGGAAATGCCAAGTGACATCAAGTCCTTCTCCGCCTGGTCTGGCTGCAGTAACTGCCAACGCCAATGCGTAAAAGCCCATCAATCTTCTTGCGGAATACTCCAAGAGCCTTCTCATAGCCATATACCAGCANGTTAAATTTGTCCCTTGTACCCATGCATACTTGAAGTTGAAATTTTAGTTTAGACTNCTTCTGAATTGCCTACTCAGTACAAAGTAGCACTTGTTGGCTAGAGTGGTTGGATTTTGATACAAATATTATTATTATTCACGGTAAAAGAAAATCTCTACTTTCTCGATATCATAATTGTCGACAGCTGTAAGCTGTCTAATTTCTATTCGTACCTCGTTATATTTAGTCAGGTAGGGTACCATTGACTCCGTCATAATCGACTGGGGGCCTGGGTTCGCCACAACTTTCGCTTTCGTCTTCCGATCTTCTGCTATCTCAGCACAGAGTCGTGTTTACGCTCAATGCGTTTTGGTCCCTTATGATGCCGTTGCTATGACAT